GCCAGAACTGACTGTGGGAGAGAGTCTTTTTTCTTTTGTGTAGATAGTTTTTTTTTTTTTCCTTTTGTTCAGGTACTCTCTAGAAATCTCTTAGGTACAGATTTTTAGGGCACGAGTGGCGAGAGTGATAAAAGACAATATTTATTTCCACTAAAAGAACTCTTCTGATTGTTACCTACTCTAGTTATAGTTCCAGAAATTTCCATTATTTCCCTGTTACTCTGAAGAACTTACTTAATTTCAGCATCCATGAATTGGGATGATAGAAATCAGTCCTTATCAAATGAGGGGAAAGGATGGAAAAAAATGGTAAACTCCAAACTACAATCTTCTGAGAAAAGTGAAAGGAAATGACATCTCGAGCTTTTACTAACACATTAAACATAAAAGTTGTGTTTGTTGAATAAATATAGAGACGATGCATCTTCCATGTATTACAAAAACCCCAGTAAGAGAAGCTTAGTATTGTAAATTTCAGTTTGTTTTTTAAGATTTTGGGGAAAATGCTGCATTTGCTAGCTGCTTTGCACCAAAAATTCAATGTTGAGACTACTGGCTAGATATCAGGGCAAATAGAGAACTCAGGTGAGCCTGCATTTTCAACATTGTCAACTCAAGGGGTCATATAAACATGAATTTTAATTGTACTAAAGAAAATAGGTGCATTGAAGTCGAGAGCTTTGGTAGAAGAGAGTACTTGCATCCTTCTCTTAATTGTGCAGAAGAATTCATTATTTTTTAAGCGGTTGTATTGGTCTTCAGTTGGCTGAAAATTGTAACTGCTGGTACCTGTGTGCTGTACTTGCCATTTTAATTGGACTACATATTTCTTCAGTAGATGTGTAGAGAAAAGTTAACTTATTATTCTAATTGAGTCGTAGCATATTTTTGGATGGTTGTGAGGCTACATGTTTTAGATGGAACTGCAAATATTTTAAGCAGAAATGTGAATTAACATTAAGTATTTTTTGGAAACCACAGGCTGGATGAATGTGAAGTAAATCTTAAACACCCTTAATCATGTTCAAGCAACCAGTAACTGCCAGCAAAACAGTATCTAGATTCTTATTAAGTTCAACTGCATTTTGTCTAAATACCTCTTGCTTAGTTGTTCAGTGTAGTTTTGCCAGTAATAACATCAAATTTAACAGATTTGCAAGTTTTGTATTTTTCTTACAATTCTAATTAAACATTTGCAGAAGAGACATGCTATTTTCTATTCATTTTTATAAGATTATGTTTAGCAGGAATAGAAAAACAAATTGTTTCAGAATAAGTTGGAAAACAAGTTATGTGCATGTTTTAATTTTTAGCAATTTGCTTTTGCCTTCAGCTGGAGTAGTCTTGCTTGTTTTATTTCCTATTATTTTTTCCAGTTTCATACTCCAAAAAATTGAATTTAAGATGGGAGAATGGCACTACTTAATGGAAATGTTACATAGTAAGCATTTTCAACTCTTTAAGGGCCTCTTCTTTTAAATTTTATTTAGATTGATGTCAGTTTTCTGTTGAATGGCAGTTGAATGGTACCTCTGAGTTAATACTATTTTAATGTAGGATTTCAATCTTATAAGTCTTGTGTAATCACAGTTTAACTACAGTATGAGCTCCAGTTTAACTACAGTATGAGCTCTTGCTCACGTTTTAATATTAGAGACAGCTAAATGATCAGATACTAACATCTGTTTCTTTGTTTCCAGAGATTGTAATCATCTGTCAAGGTTTTATTATTGTATATGGAAAAGACAACACAAGAAAACTTCAGGAATATTCATACTTTATTTCTCCATATTATATGACATTATTTTTACTAAGATATGGTATCATCAAGGAAGTAATATTGAGGTGTTTAAATTTGAGTTTTGGTAAGGATTTGAAAGAGCCTTTGGGCATGTAGCTCTTAGCATTAAATCCATGATCTTAAAGTTCTGAAGACCTGCAGTCAAACTTGCTCTTGCAAGTCCTGCTGAATACAATACCTTCTTAGTGCTTCAAGTGATCCATTTGTACTGCATAACTACCTGGAGAGAGCACACAGGAGAGGGAATTTAAAAAATAATTTAAAAAAAAAACGTAGTACTTAAGCAACAAAGAATGTAGCAACTACTAAGGTGCTTTCAGCATGTCAGAAATAGTCGAAGTGCAGATATAGAAAGTCCAAGCATATGTAGCTAAAGCCACAACTGATGTAACTAAAATCAACGTAAAATACCAGTGGTGATTCTTTTCTGCATTTGCAGTCTGAGTTTTGAGAAGATATCTTTTCACCAACATGTGAATCTAAAAGGCAGCATCAACTTTTCTGTATTGAGAAATTTATCTATAGCAGTGAGTGTCACAAAATCACAGAATGGCCAGGGTTGGAAGGGACCTCAAGGATCATGAATCTGCAACCCCCCTGCCACATGCAGGGCTACCAACCTCTCCATCTGATACCAGACCAGGCTGCCCAGGGCCCCATCCAACCTGGCCTTGAACACCTCCAGGGACGGGGCATCCACAGCCTCTCTGGGCAGCCTGTTCCAGCACCTCACCACTCTCTCTGTACAGAATTTCCCCCTGACATCCAACCTAAATCTCCCTCCCTCAACTTAAAACCATTTCCCCTTGTCCTGCTGTTATCAACCCTTTCAAAGAGTTGATTCCCCTCCTGTTTGTAGGCTCCCTTTAGGTATTGGAATGCTGCAATAAGGTCACCCCGCAGCCTTCTTTTCTCCAGGCTGAACAAGCCCAGCTCCCTCAGCCTGTCTTTGTAGGGGAGGTGCTCCAGTCCCCTGATCATCTTTGGGGCTCTCCTCTGGACCCTCTCCAACAGCTCCCTGTCTTTTTTGTATTGGGGGCTCCAGGCCTGGACACAGTACTCCAGATGGGGCCTCCCAAGAGCAGAGTAGAGGGGGACAATCACCTCCCTGTCCCTGCTGGCCACCCCTCTTCTGATGGAGCCCAGGATCCCATTTGCCTTCTGAGCCACAAGGGCACACTGCTGGCTCATGTTAAGCTTTTCATCCATCAAGACCCCCAGGTCCTTCTCTGCAGGGCTGCTCTCAAGGACAAGTAGGATCTACATGAGGCCAACCAGCACTGTTTGAAAAATGCTAACCTGGATTAACCGAGTGAATTTCAACCCATCTATATTACAGTATTTTGCAAATTAACTTGGTATGTTAACAATGTCTTTTAAAAATATTCCAAGTAATGTACAGTTCTTATGGGTTTTAATTACTGGTTCAAGCAGTTGAATGCAAATTGCTCTTTTCTGTAAATTCAATTGAATTGTAAGAATTACTTTGAATGTAAAGTGGGAAGCTATCAATTTCAGAAGTAAATTATCATTTTTAGTTTAAAAATGCAGACAAATTTTGAAATGTGCCTCTTTCCTTTAAAGTGACCTGTAAATATTTGTGTAATTCAGAGCGTGTTTCCATAGGAAGTCACACATAGTTATAACGAAGTCCTATGCTGCATATCTGGGGAAGCACATGAGCAGTCCAACAAAGAACAATTATGCACTGCATAATTGTTAATAACACATTAATAACACATTTCATGAGTATACATTTACATTCCCTGCTTGGTATGAAGCAAATGGGACAATGTTCCCTTCTGCCATGTTGTGCATCTGAGTGCCCAATAGCACCATGCTGCTGGGAGCAGCTGCAGTGGAAAGCCTGCAGGAGTTCATGGGAACCGGGCGCTGGAAGCACTGCGCCATGCAATGCAGAGAGCAGCTGTCTGTCCCAGAGGACCGATCGAATTCGTCACTGACAGGGAATATCCCACGGCTGGGAGGCAGCCGCTCCTACATCAGCCCTGCAAGAGCCAGGAGAAAGCCTAATGTGGGCGACTGAGGACTTCCTAGTGTCTGAATGTGACAAGTGCTTGTTAGTAGTCAGAAGTCAAGGGTATGCTGACAGTAGTAAGCAGCATTTTCTCCAACGTACATAATCTGTCCATTACTTTAGATTCTGTGGATAAGTGATTCAGCTAGCTAAGCTAAAATACTAAACCACATCTGATGATTTGGCTAATACCTTGGCTAGGGAGAACAGCAGGTAGATGCACCTTGAGGACCACAAGGCTGTCCTTAGATACTGTCTCGCATCCTAGTAATCATCATATTTACTTTTTTTTTTTTGGTCCCCCAGGCTGTTACAGAACATGAGAACTGAGGGCACTGGCTTGGGAGTTTATTCCTGTACAAGGGCAGCTGATGCAAGATATATCCTACTTAAGACAGAAGTAAATGGGAGAGTTGCACACCCTTTTATGAACCAGCCAACCTTGCCCCTGGGTACAAGTTGTACCACGATGCTGAAATTGGTCCTCCAGGCTGCAGAGATAGAGTTGTTGAGCTGCTCCTTGACCTCTGTATGCAGCTTTCCAATCAAGAGTTGTGTGCTGTTAGCTGAAACATTCTCTTTGGTTTGTATATCTAGCCCTGTCTAGGGCATGTATTCAGAGTAGCAGCTCTGTGTTCCAGAGTTGTATCATGTGATTCACAGTCTTCTCCATAGCTAAAGATATATATGATTAATTTATGTATGTAATCAGTTATATTTCAAATCTCAGTATCAGAAGAGCAGTAGATGTTCTCTCTAAAATGTGGTTAGTACAGGAGTACGGTGGTGAGCTGAAATACTGTGATTTTAATTTTGCTTAATTATATAGAGAAATGTGATTCTCAGAGCTTCAAAACATTAGAAAGTTGTGATGTAATAAGAAAGTGCACATCAATCAACAGAGTTATGCTTCAGGCTGTGGAAGTGGGACCTTTCTTCTCTTAACAAATCCCACCCAGTTCTCTGCCTGAAGGAGATTGCAGTGTAATATCCCTTCACAAGTGCTAAGTATTTACACTTAATTAAATACTACTACTTAGCATTCTGGGTTAAGCAGTAGGAAAAAAAAAAAAAGAAAAAAGGTATTTGACATAAATTTGTCCATAACACAAAAAATTCCAGAATGAAGAATGTATTCCATTTGCTTTTCCATTTGTTTATGTGCAGTTCTGAATAAATGGAACCTGAAAATGACAGTGGAGCAAAGCAAAAATAAGGCGCTTTGCAATAAACTGTTGTCGGTTGTTCTACCTGATGCTATTAAGTTCACAAAAATGCTTTTTGAGGTATGTGTTATCTTCAAAATAATTTTTTTTGTTTGTTTGGTGCAGGTTCCTACATCTGGATTATTTTAATACTGTAAGGAGAATCTAAGTCTCAGATTTGGGACTAGTTATAAGATGCTATAAATTACAAGGACAAGTTGCCAAATATTGCTTCCAACATTTCCAGGGAACATACTGCAAAATAATAATAATGTTGCTAGTGTATTCTTCATTAGAATGGTGATGTAGTGCTTGCTGGAAATGAACATCAGCAAGCTTTCTTTCATATTTTGTACTTGATTTGGATATGCAGAAGTCCTTATGTGAGCACTTATTTTCCCCCTGTATGTGTCACTTATTGATAATTGCTGATAATGTGATGACTAAAAAGCATTTTGACCTTGCAAGGTTCAAGCATACTTTGATTTAAAAAAAAAATACTGATGAGGTTAATTTACTCTATTTTACTGATATTTAAACTTCAGTAAATGACCAGATATTGTAGTAGTTTCTCAAGAACTGCTTTTTACTACCAATAGGCAGATTGATTTCACTGTCAGACAACAGATCCTTAGTCCTTAAGTCAGTTCCTTTGTTTATCCAGCATTTTCCTTATGATTAGAACAGCCATAAATGTGATTATAGTAAAGGTATTTTTTAAATTTAAAATGAAAAAATGATTTCAAAGTAAAATTAGTCAGTTGTCTTTTTGTAGTTTGGATGGGTCTAGTTATATATATTTCTACAAATGCGTTGAATTTTGGATGCCATTTTCATGTGGAAGTATGGTAACAATTGCCTTTCATATTTATTGTTTTACTCTGTCTTGGTTACTACTGGTTTAGTTAATTACACTTCACATCCACCTTCACCACCACCATCACAGTACTCTACTGATGCAAAATACAGTTGCATTTATTCTTGGCCAGGTGGGAATGCCTGTTTTCTGTAAATCTTAGCCTGCTGCTAATAGGTTTCAAGAAATTGGTTTGAAACAAGTGCCTGGGAGCAAATCTGTAAGATTACCCTTTTGCGTGCTCTTTACCTTTTTTGAGAGGAACTAGGAAGGGAAAACTTCACTCCTTCACCATTGTGCACAGAATGATAGCTATTAGAAGTGGGTTTTTTGTTCACTGACAACATAGATCTTGATAGTTTCCTTTTTTTCAGTGAGTGTTGTATAGGGGATTGTTTATTTTCTCCAGTTCACAAATTGATACAAGTTTTGTGCTGTGAAGGTGTAATTTTTCTTTTCTAATTTTCTTCCTTAGTCTGCCATCTTCAACTTCCAGAGTCTTCTGACTGTAATCTTGTTGCTCATATGTACCTGTGCCTATATCAGATCCTTGGCTCCCAGCTTACTGGACAAGAATAAAACTGGGTATGTAGTCTAACCATTTTAAAAATTCACAAACTCTCTGGTTTTCACTACGGTGCTTTTTTCTTAGTAACTTGTAATGGTGGTTAATAATACAAATACTATTTTGCAAAATGTTTTTCTTCTTTAAAGATAAAAAACCTTCAGGTTATCTTCAATAAAGATCTTCATTGTTCAAGTTCTTACTATAGAATATTGAAATTAGTTGAAATTTTGAATTACAAATTTATTGTTCTATAAAGCCAGCTAGTATTGCTTTTTTAGTTATTTTTTAGACTTGCATCGTTTTCCTCAGATGACACAGAAACAAGAGACAGAAAGAAAACGTTTTCCTACTTTCAGTTGTTGTACAGATTTACTTATTTTTTATTGTTATGGATAGAGAATTAAGTCTTATCAGCAGAAGCTGCCTTGCTATTTTTTTCCCCCTTGTGTTGTTTGGCTGTTGTAATTATATCTCTCACTTTTATTCTTGAAGCACATTTTCTGGATGACCACCCTTTTTCTGTTTTGTGTTCGCAGTTCTCCTGGAATGTACTTGATGTGCTGCTGTGAAATAGTTCTGTGCCCTGCTCAGTAGCATGATTTTTGTGTTTGGTAGGAAATGAGAGACAAATCTGTGCCTCCCTTATGCTTTTAAAGCACATTCATGTTTTAGCTTAGCAGTTTGCTTTGTAGTACAAAGGATATCACAGAGTGTTGGATGCAATGAGCAGTATGCAGAGCTGTGATTTAAATGCTGTGTTTTTGAAGTAATGATTGCACAATTTTGAGATAGAATTTTGACTGAAGCTGCCTTAATTCTTTAGTCATGCTGTCACTGGGGATTATTACAAAGGAGATAATACTTGTAAAAATCAGAGGTAATTCTAGCTGGGCAGGGAAAAAATACAAGATTTTGGTCTTTGGATGTTTGACTTCCACTTCTTCCATTAGGTTGCTTGCTATTAAAAAGATACGAGTTTTTTTTTCTGCATATTTGGACAATTCTTCTGCATTTAGTTTTCAGAAAAAGTGTCAAGTTTATAATAGAACCGTACTGTCAGTAAATATCTTCCTTTTTGTCTTTTGAAAACCCTCATTGTGATTAACTTCTGGAATTGCCATTTGAGCACACAAGTTTTCGTTTAGTAATGCGAACTACCTGGAGTACAATAGCATTTTTTTCGGTTGGGAGTTCTGGCATGAGAATGTTTGTGTCTTTTCTAATGAGATCATGCGGTTACCACTGACATGAGAAATTTCTTTCAATAATAGTAAAGATGGAAATAAAGGATGACTACATAGAGGACTGTTCTTTTGTTGTTGTGGGGTTAGTTTTTTTTGTTTGTTTGTTTTGAGCATCTACTCATGGAAGATAACAGAATAGTCAATGAGATATATGTAGTAAAAAGTAAGAATATTTATTTTACTGATTAAGATTTTAGTGCTCTTCTTGGCATTATCTGGAGATACTCTGCTTAGTACAGTAGAAGCCTCTTCATCATAAAGTGTTTTCAAAGGGTGCTGACTGTGAAGGAGTTAAGTGTTTGATCTGTAAGCTTGTATTTATATAGATGTTGGACATACAATTTTATTACATATATATATACATATGTAGACTGCTTTGTACAGAAGAATAAAATGTTGGCCTGGAAGCAATGAAATTTGTGTCTTGAATGGTAGATGTTTACATGGAGCTCATGTGCTGTTAAACCTCTGTCCCTCTTCACTAACATATTCCATGCTCAAATGGAAATGTCTAGACATGCTGGATAAAATAAATTCTATTGATACTTCAGTTTACCACAGAGATGATCTTACCTCATTATTCCTGCTCCAAATTAGTAGCATAATAGAAGTAGCAATAAAATATTAATGCAACAGAGAGGAAAAATGTTAGTAGTTACTAGCTGTATTTCTGAGTGATAAACTTACTGAAGATGGAAATCTGTCGTGATAATAATTAAAGGTAGTAAAGAAGCATGTTTCTGTTAGTTGAGAGACTACACTGCAGTGATGTCGCCCTTTCTCATAACATTGTATTTCATCAGAATGATTTCTGCCAAAATGTGTATTTTTCTACCAAGTCAAACAATTTTAAACCTTCATATTCCCTGAAGTATCATGACTGTTTCCATGTGCTTTGTCAGGAGCAATAACTTTTAAGATTGGGAAGGCAAGTGGAGATTTACTGTCACATACTAAGTGGAAAAGAATGTGTACCACAACATAATTCTCTCTATTAACCAGAAAGATGTGTTAGCTTATGTGCAGTGGAGATTGCCTTTGACTTGGCATAAGCACTGCATTGAGTAGATCTCAGATTCCTTCCTGAAGTTGCAGGAGGATTGTCCTGGCAAACACAAGGCAGGAGCATTTTACAGGATTCTCAGTTTAGCAGCCAAGCACTGAAGCCCCCTATATCTTTCCTGTCTTGCTTGCTTCCATTTTTTTGAATTTTTTTGGGTGATTTTTTTCTTTAGATAGCCAACAACACCTACAGTGACATCAAGCAACATGCAGCAACTCATGCATATGCTTGATGTGTTACTTCTAGAAAATTACAGGCTTGCAAGCCAGACTGACACCTGCATTAAAACAAGGATGAGGATGAACATAAAGGCAAGAATTAGGAGAAATGCAATTACTTTGAATAATTGCTTAAGGAGGAATTTTTTTGGAGCACATTCATTTAGGGAATCATAATTTCTGTAATAATCAAACAGGCTGTGACTTGAGGTACTTGCTGTGTACCTTGAGGTGAGCAGTAAGGTATGAATATAGGAGAGCAGTGGCTTTTCTGCCACAGTGAGCTCTCCAGTATATCCAGAGATTATCTTTTTCCTGTGAGAGTGGTGAGGTGCTGGAACAGGCTGCCCAGAGAGGCTGTGGATGCCCCATCCCTGGAGGTGTTCAAGACTGGATGGGGCCCTGGGCAGCCTGGTCTGGTATTGAATGTGGAGGCTGGTGGCCCTGCCTGTGGCAGGAGGGTTGGAGATTCATGATCCTTGAGGTCCCTTCCAACCCTGGCCATTCTGTGGTTCTGTGATTCTGATTATTGATGTTTTGAAGCTTCACATCTCAATTTGCTACTGCTCAGCAGTAAAGTATGTGGACAAACTAATCTACTGAGTGGTTCTGATAGGAGCACAAGCATCTCAAAAAGATGCTATTCTTACATGTTAGAAGGCTTGTCAGACTTCATGTCAGTGATAAATTTAAATTCATGAAGTGTTAACTGCATTGAGGGCATCTGATGAAACCTTTATTCTGCTTTCTACCACCCACACTAGAAGGAAAAATTCTTATCTCCACCAACAAGGAATTTTTGTAAAGCTAGGAACAATGCACAATACTTTATGTAAAATTTTGAACTATACTTTGTTTCTCATGATCAAAAAACCCAGAGGAGGTAAAGAAAATCTGCTGAGACTGTTACAAAGTACAGATTTGTAGACTGCCTGATAGTGAGAACAATCTTTTTCCCAGGTAAAATTCTGTAAGTGTACATAAGAAGAGAACAGTAGTGTTTTGTTTCATCAAATTCCTAGGCATGCTTGTGAGAGGTGGGAACTTGCGGTACTGGGCTTGGAAGATTTTGCAATGGTTTTTCTGCATGTAGTCTGCAAGTCTGTTTACAGATAATAACAATTTTAATAGTTTTGAGTGCCATTCACATGGGACTCTGTGACTATATATCTTGCTTTGTAAAATTTACACACGAATGCCTTTTTACTTCTAAAACTGTATAGATGTCTTCAGGTTATTTTTCTGAGTGACCTCTTAACCTAAAAAGGTGTGATGGTCTACATGCGGAAATTATCACTTCTCTTTGTGGAATTAAACAAAAAGCTTTGATATAAATAATTACTTACAGCTCGAAGAAGAAAAGATATAAAAAAAAGTTAAAAAAAAAAAAAAAAGACCTTTTTTAAAAAAAAGCAAATGTATTTAATGTTGTTGGTAAGAAACTGGTCAACAAGAGTTGGAATGGTCAAAAAGCGTTTCACTTTCCCTTCAAAATTATCAGTCATTTCCAGCCTCTTGCAGCTCTTGCTTCTGACTTACTGAACACCAAACAGAAAGGAAGGGCTGCTGAATGGATAGAGACGCCAAAGTGAACAAAGATGGTAAAAGAGTTGTAGATAGAAATATGAAGTAACAGAAATTCTCTTAAAAAAAAAAAAAAAAAAAAAAAAAAGTGAAATATGCTGACTGTGCAGTATGCATGAACAAGACAAGTGGTCCAAACCTACCTGTCTGCATTTATACATGGAAAAAATACAGTTACCAAAGCCCAGGAACAGCAGATAACCAGACCAGGGTGGGGACAGGTTCAAAGTGTTGTGGGGAAGCACCTGGAGAAATGCCATCACAGCAGGTAGTAGATGAAGACACACAAATAATCTAGACCAAAGTTTTTGTTAATAAACATGTCATGGGAAGGAAGAGAAAAACCTCAAGGGTTTTTTTGGTTCATAAATATGTGTGTAGTCAAATCCAGATGTTTTTACTGTACTGCAGCCAGTTATACTATGAAGCAAACCTAAAACCTAAAGTTTTCAACAAAGTTCTGCCTGATATTTAAATGACTGAAAGTTAACTGCCCTTCTAATTCAAGATGCTTTAGCATTTCTAATCCTCTCCTACAAATTTTAAAAGCGCACCCAACTGTTTTCTTGTTTCTCTTGAGCAATTAATATGAAGTCACTTTAATTATGTGGAGAAATTAGAAAGATGTGGCCTACTTAGACTTTGTTTTTTATTTAGTCTGTATAGTTGATACCTGTTTTCCTCCTTTTATTAATTCCACTTGTGATCATTAATACTCTCAGTGGGAAAGATTAGAGAGACTTTACCTCAGTAAACCTGTGTAAAACGCTAAAAACAAACCTGAATAATTGTTTTGTTGTTTATTTCAATGCAGTATTCTGTAGTACCAGATTATACCTACAAGTATGCTCTGATGGAAAGCACATTTTCATGTACTATTGCAAAGAGAAATATAAGAAAGGTGGTACAGCATTACATTTAAAATGCTGTGATGCATAATTTCTTAAAACTGCAGAAAAAACATAAATTTTAAAAAATCCACATATGTTGACACAGAGGTCTTTTGGCATCTTATACTTTGTGTTTCTATTTCTGTTTTGGGTTTTTTTCAGTGAGGTTTTTTTTTTTTTTTTAACAAGATTTTCTGTCAGGGCTGCGTTAGTGTAGAATGTAGTGTAGAATTATGTAAATTAAATTTGAAGTACGGACTGTAAATGCACCTTTTCTTGCACGTAAAACCTTGCTAAGCTTGGAACGTTGCTGTTTGTTTAATTCCTAGCTTGGACCTGATGCAGGTATCTGTTTTTTCCTGAAGTTGAGAATTAAGTTAAAAATGTGTTTATTTGAACTGGTGTAGTATGGAAGGACAAAGATCAATTAATTGAGATTTTTCTTAAATGATTTTATGAACTTCAGAGCCTAATGAATTTCTTTTATCTTTGCAGACTATTGGGAATATTCTGGAAATGCGCCAGGATTGGTAACTTTTTTCTTTGAAATATCTTTTATAAAATGCTTTTCCTATTGTGTGTTATTTGTTAGCATAGTGTTTCCAGGTAGCAATGGAAACCATTCTTAATGCATTATCTTTAAAAACATAAGCTTTATCTCCATTAAATACCGTGAAGATTGGCTGTGGAAGCTATGACTATTTTACTTAGCACAGTGGAACCCTGAATTTTTCTAATGCTAATTCACGTCTAAGTTGTTCAGTTTCAAAAACCTTCTGCGCATTTTACTGCATGAAGTCACTCAAAACAGACTTGTTACAGCTTAAAAAGAAATCACTGATTCCTCAGAAACCAGCGCCTGTTTGAAAACCTAATGCAGTGCTGACAAAAACCAGATATTTACCTTAGAACAATAAAACAATATGGAATTCATAATGTGTTAAAATTCTGCTTAATCACAGATGTTTTCTTCCCTTTTTGTCGTTTTCTCTGTACTTCCAAATTACTCAAAGCTGTTGGTGTCTAGTGGAATTTATGGGAAGGCTAATCAGCTGTATCTGATTTTAGGCATTCTCCCAACATTTATGGTTGTATAGTTTTTTTAATTGTAATTCCAAACTTATTTTTGAATTGAAAAGGGAATGTGCAACAGAATTCCACGTTAAGTCTTGAATATATGTCAGTGCTCCAAAAAACTAAAAGTCCGTCATTAAAAACTGTTCTGCAAATTGCACTGTTAATGCAGAGCAAAAGTGTTGGGCATGTAATTCTAGGTGTCTCTGCATGTCATTGAACTTAGGGGAAAATGTATGGTTCCCTTTTCTTCATTCTCAGCCTTTTAAAGGGACATGACATGCGTTTTTCAGCATGTCAAAATGCACTGATGCAAAAAACATTCTTTTGTGAAGACCTGCCATTAGAATGATTGCAGGTATTCTCCTGTTTAGTTAATAGCCATAGCTGAACCAGTTTTAATATTGCAGTGGAAAGGTACTGGCAATTTGGCAGCTGTATATTGAGCTGCATTAGCAAAAACAAATCTAAATTTCAGCTGCATTGGGGTTTGTTCAAGGTTGAAGAGCACACTTCGCTTTAGCATCTTCTTTCTATTTAATTAAGCACAAGCATTTTTTTTTTTCTGTTAGCTGTGCACAGCAAATAATTTTAAAAGCCATTTAAAAGAGTATGCAAGAGCTTGAGTATGCAAGTCAACCTGATGGAGTTAAGAACCTCTGTTGATCTGGTACAGTCTTCCTCTCTCACAATGTCGCAACTACATTTTCTGCATGCAAGACAGTGCATGCATTCTTGTACCCAGTACTGAGCTTCGTTCTTTTCTTTCCTTCATGTAAAAAAAACAGTTTCTTTTCAGTCTACATCTGGAATGATCTAGTCTGACTTTCTTTCAAACTGGGAAATGAGGTAACATCTTAACATTCCTCCTCTGTGTTTCTTTACATAACACTGTCATGCCCTCAGTAATGGGAAATGGCTTTTGAAGGGGATTGCCACCATTTTATTTGGGTTAGTCGCTAAAAGAGAAATGGAGAAAAGCGTAGGCTTTTAAAAATGAAAATACCCACTAGCTCCTTTTACATAGAAGTTGCCCAGAATGTTTCAACAAGCTTTGCAGAATGTGCATAGGATTTTAATAATCAGCAAGTGGTAACATATTTACAAAGTTGTGCAAAATTATGTTTAATCCTGCCACATAGTGTTTTATTTTTCAAGAAATTTAGGAGCAGGAAAGTATAACCCTTATGAAAATAGTAATACTCTAAAATGTAAGAGTTGGACTTCCTCAACTTTATTTTAAACAGATGTGAAACAGCAGACATTAATTCATTCATTTATTTGAAACTTAATTAAATATATGCCAGATCATTACAACATCTTGTAATGGGAGGTGTCATTACAAGTATCTTATTTTTATTTCTTACGGAAATACTGCTTTTGAGGGTCCTGCCAGTGAAGGAGCCTCTTTTCCTGAGGATTATACCTTAATGCTTGACTTGTGCTTTTCCATTATTATTTCTCTGAAAACAGTATCTTAGAAAATATTGTTTATAGTAAGATATTAAGATAAAAGACCTCATGCAGTATGAAGAAATAGAACTTTGTTTAAGCAAACAGCTATAACTCCATCTGTATGTTTCTGAATGCACTGAATCTGGAATTTTCTCATGTTAGAGCCATGGCATTGTTAACACTTCTTACAGCCTTATAGGCTGGAGGAGGCATCCAGTGTAGGAGGCCCTCTTTGTTCTCCAGAGGAAAGTCAGTGAATTCCTACAGAATGTGCTTAAGCAGAAGGGCAAAAATGATTTCCTCTCTGTATGGAGGAAGTGTCCATATAAATCATTAGCAGTCTAGTGAATACCTTCCCATGACAGTGTTATAGTTCCTTAAGATTTTTTTTTAATACGACTTGTTTGGTGAGCAAGAGATACTTCAATATTTCATTCTGAGTAAAAATTGGTGAAAATAGATCTTGATTGTCTTTGCTACTGAACATAAATCTTTTAATGGAGTACAATTAGCTTTTGTCCATTGTCTGCCATAGGAAGCTACAACAGTAATTTGAAGGTGCCAGAAATAGAGGTCTCAGTGCAACTTGTTAATCTGTTGATCACTTTTCTTTCTATGAAAGAGGGTTTGTAGGAACATAGAGGTCCTTGCACTGAACTTTACTTAAGGAAAACAATTCCAATTCTCTCTATATACAGCAGCATGTACTGTCCTGAATCCTAGCTTTCCTCCTCCTGTTCATATTCTTCTCTGGTACTCAGCTGTGGCAGTAACAGCATTTCTCCAACCAAAAGTATTGAATGTTACTTTGCACATGCAATGTGATAATTGTCATGTTAGGCTAGGAGCAGCCCAGATCAATGTAGTTATGCCTGAGTTGTATTTTTTTTTAATCCCTCTGCTCCCAGGTGAACGAAAGAGCCCCTACGTAGCTGTGTGCTGTGTGGTGATGGCCTTCAGCATTCTGTTTGTACAGTAGCAACTGGAGGTTGTCCCTTATACTGTGCTACCAAACAGCAAAGCATGGAAGAAATTACAGCAGGAAAAAATTGAGAAGCATCATCAGCTCTCCTCCCACATGCTGGATAGCCAGTCTCTTGGTGATCATAATGTAACTAAATCCAGAATCGTACATAGATAATAATGTCACATCAGTACTGAAACTGCTGATGTAACTGTTAAAAAGATGTCTGTTGTGTTTTTGAGTTCCACAAGAATATATTTTGTAACATGCAATTGAAAAGGTTTTTAATGTTTTTGTTTGATAGACCTGTTTAATTAAATTTAACAATTATACATCTGGCAATAGAACCACTCTTGTAAGAATGAAGAACATTACAGAATATGTTTACTGAGTATTTTCAGTTCTTAATGTCTGAACAGTTCCTGTGATATTGCAATAGGTATGATCACATGTTTAAAATAGATCTCTTAAATGTCTAAGTCACATTCAGCTTTCATTTTCTAATCTTGCAGTTTCTTAATCTATCAATATTTCTGTTGTTAAGATAAAATATAAATAAGGATGGGGATCATAAATGTAGTGAAGTCTGACTTATCTGCTGAGGATACACAAATGTAGGATTTGAAAGCCAGGACTATTCTGTGTGTGTGTATGTGTATCTTTACAGATCAAGCTCACAAGTGAATCATTCCCTAATATTTTTTCTTTTTTCCTTTAGTGGCTCTACTACTGTTCCTAAGGCATTTAATACAAGGCTGTTAAGTCAGCTGAGGGAATAGTTAGCTTCTCAGTAGTCCAGAGATAGGAAAGTTGTATGTCCTAATGTTCTAAGGGTTTAAGAGAAAAGAAAAAAAAAAAAAAAAGAAAAAAAAAAATTTACACTCACTATTAGTAAAAATGAAATAAACCTCATTATTATTTGCCTTTAGTTTTTATTCTAGTTTTTTAAACTTCTAGAAATTTAGTAACTTATTTCAGTAGTGCCTAAGAAATGTATTTATACCACCCAGCTATATGACTTCATATTGACTGCATTTGAGAGAGTTATTGTCAGCAGTATTTTGGGTTGTTCTGAAAAGGTATGTGATCAGAATGAGCTTAGCTGGCAATAAAACTATCTGAATGGTATGTACCTGTTGTCATTCTTATTGGAACTCTTCTTTCCTAGATCCAAATCACCCTGTACTTAGAAAGGAAGTGGTTGTTAGTGATAAGCTTTGTATTATCCCATGTATATCTGCATATCTAAGTCATTATCACACATACTTAGTTGTCCAAAGCTGTTTTCTAATCAGCAGACAGGGAAAATAGCTTTTTCCAATTTAAGTACAATAAAAAGCATTGGCTGTAAAACCTGCAGGCTCAGAGGAGTACAGAACCGCATGATGTTGATAAACCATGGTGTGCACATGTACAAGCCTTGAAACAGACAGGAAGTCTGAGGAACAGCCAAGTGCATTTCTTTAAATATGGGTACTTCTCCAAATGTAGCATCAGAGCATCTGAGGAACCCATTTCTGTGTATCGAAGGTGCCATTCCTAGACTGGGCATGAGGGAAGCTCATAAGGACACTTGAGATTTGACTCATGTTATGTATGTGTTCAAAATATAATAGGATCATTTAGAAACTTTTATAATTAGTGAGTGTATTCTAGTTCTTAATATTTATTGGACTTTATGATAAATGATGGTGTTTGTAGATTTCACATATCCCATGTATCATTCTAAAACTGTCCTAGTTGTCACATTAATTCTTAATAACATCTGTGTTTACCTGTAGTTAGAAATACTACTGAAACAACCCTGGTAATGTTTTTAAGCCTTGAGAATCCAAAAAGCGTTTACAGGGCACTGTATTGCTGAAGATATTCTTGTTCATAGCGTTTTTTTGTTGAAAAAGTTCACATAGACAGGCCTCTTCATGTTTGTCACTTTTAGTTCGGTCTTTAGAATTATTTACTTACAGCAGTTTTTCATTTTGTCTTAAGTATAGATAACTAATGGGTAAATCTTTGAATATTCTTTTCTCTATTCCTTTTATGACGTTTACAGGATATTCTTGGCTTACTAACTGCATACTTGCTCAGCAGTGCTACTGTAGCAACAAAGAAGAGGACAGATTTCTCAGCAGCTGCTAGCAATGCCTGAGTTCAAAAGTAGCTTGTATGCAAGCTTTAGAAAAGATCGTAAGCAGAGATAAGTGTTGTCTATGGTGGGGCTATTCAAAGTGTGCCTCCGGTAAAAAGCATTTGAGAACAGGATCTTTAAACTCTGACAAATGTCAGTTGTTTTGAAATGACTGTTTTGGGCAGGTATTCACCTCAGGAAGAATTCTTTGTACTTCAAAGCTTTGGATTTGGAGAGATTGATGCCTCTTCTGTCTTACTGTTTAAGATATGAAGAAAATACTGTTTTTCCCATGTTAGAATCTTAAAGCTATTTCATGTTCTCTGCTCTTTTTCTCATGCAAATTGCTGTCACTTGAGGAAGGTTTAACTGTTATGAGAAGGAAGAAGAAAGCATAACACTGTGAGCACGCTTGATAAAATTTTACAAGTTACCCTTAAACACTGAGTCTGGACTATGTCATTTTCAAAGAACAGTAAGTTCCAATGAAGCTCTGGCACTAGAGGTGTCAAGGAAAATAGTTTTCTTGAACTTTGCTCTGATTCCTAAACCAAGTGGACAAGGAAGTACTTATTGCCATATTTCTCAGGTGCTAAAGCTTTAATGGTGAATAGGCACACTGTAGTATAGCTTAAGTTGGAACAGCTGACAATGGCTATCAAGGTAATTGAGAAGAAAGTAGCAGAAATTCCTGGCTGACATACAGGACTTTACAACCCCATCAGGTCTGGGGAGATCTTATCCTCTTTAGAGTTGCTGGAACTTAGAGAGGAAATAGTTATTTAAATGTGATTTAAGCGTGTAGTTGTGTCTACTACTGTATAAGAGTACTCATTGTTTTACCTACACATGGATCAGCTAGCGAGCTTCCCTATCTCTCCTTGTTGCACACATTTTGTGAAAGGTGAGGGTAGTGTAAGCTGTTTTACATGCAGTTTAGGGGAATGTCCCATATGTTTTCCTAGAGCAATTAGCAAAGTATAAGATAAACAGTTTGCAAGTTGGAGTGTTCTTCTTGAGATTTGGGTAATGAAGATGTAGATGGGGAAAAGGAGGTGAGAATGACTTCAGCAGAAGGTGCATGCACAGTCTGGAGAAGTAGGTAGGACCCAAACTGAGTAAGATTATTAGATTGCTTTCAGAAACCACTAAGTTGTGCATTCATCTGGATAATAAGGGTAAGATGCTGCGTATTTTTCTTCCAGTGGCTGAAGTTTTTAAACTAGGATGGTGCTGCCCCTGCGTTTAACCCTACCAAGCAGAATACAGCAATGTAAAAGGGCACTTCCCATAGCAGAAGTATTTTGGTGGTCAACATGATGCAACTTGAATAATACCAACTGTTCTTCCTTCAAAGCATGGGTTCTGTACCTTATCTTTGTCATATGACAGAGGCTTTTAGAACACGCCATTTTGTGTTTGTGATTGAAGCTCATATCGACGTACCTGAACCATCCTGTGCTTATACAGAATTGCAGGCAAAAATAGGAATCCATCTGCAAACTCTTCTGTTCTCAGGCACCTCTGAACTGAGCTGCCTACTGCCACGGCTGTACTGCTCTTGCTTCACTTAAAGTATACAAAGCTAAAATTTACTAGAACAGAACAGATTTGCAATCTTTGAACAAAATGTGGCAATCAGTTTGCTGCATGCGTCCAGATTTACTGTTTAATTATGCAAGTAGTGATTTATACAGTAATATCTGAAACGTGATGTAGTGGTCTTTGAATGGATAGATAATTTTATATCTTGCATGTACTTGCTTTGGATTAATGGCATTCTAACTTCTGTCCATGTCTTCACTCTAAGTGACCTCAAATTCAAAGCAGGGATTTAAAAAGTATAAATAGAACAGTAGTAATTGCCGTGATGGGAAATGAGTAAAGCAGGAGTAAGAGGTGGGATCCCTGCAAGGATCTCTGGAGAGACTGATAAGCAAATGGGCAGGCATAGGTAGTGGAGGAAGAAAGAAAAAGTGAAGTCCAAGGAATGACTCAAGCATTTTTTTGAGCTTGGAATAAGGTCCTTGCTCTGTAAATGCCCTTTCTATCTTGTTAACCACAGCCTTAGAAACATAATGTCAACCAAAGGTGAAGTTGCTGTGCTGTAGAGGAAACAATTACTCTATCAGTGCTCTGAAGCTTTTATTCATTCAGAGTGTTCACCTGCAGAAACAATTCAAGTTGCCTATAAAGACAATGTATCAATCACAGATAAAGCAGCCTGTGGTTTTCGCTATCGCATTGGTGGCAAACCTTCAGGATTCCCTGCACTGCCCTGAGTGGAATGGAACTGTCTTGGTCCACTCCGAAAGTAATACCTCCTGTTTATTTCCATGGAAACTACAACAGATACAATGAACTCAATAATACTATCAGATAGAAAAGTTTCTTAGCTCCAAAATACTATTTTTCAACACTGTCGTCACCATTAGCTGTGCATTTTTGTCTGTGGTTAACAGAAAGCGTGCTCATAAAAATTTGCAGTACAAGAGGTGACCACTTGTCACCATTGTTGAAACACGCCAACCACTGCCTTGCTTTACTTCCATCCCTTGGTTTTTCACCATCAGTGTACAGCAAGTGTTGACAAAATTCATTGGATGCCATTTTGTCCATGTGGATGAATTCAGTAACACACCTTTGCTTCATCCACACTTCCATGCCAGATGCCATTCTCTTGGACTGCCCCTCTGCTGTTATCTGTCACACAGTAGCAATATGTAATGGAATATTGGTGGGAAGCTTCAGCCTCTAATGCCGTATCACCAACATCTTCTGCTGTCCTGGGCCAACATCACAGAATGGAAGGCATTACTTTTGAAGTAATATAATCAATAAGTAACAAAACAATTTTTAAATTGAGGTAGTTAAGCTTGGATTTGTGAAACAAACATATCGTATTCTGTGATCCTTGAAAAGATTCGGGTACAAATGTACATACTGTCAAAAGTGGTGACGTGAATAAGACATGATTGTGAAGTGAGGAGAATTGCTCTCTGATAGCAGAGGTCTTAGAGAAGCCCAGTAAAGAAACATGATCAGATTTTTGAGTACAATATATGATTCTAATCTATATATTCCATTTTAAATTTGCAGGTCATGTATTTATATTGACAGCAAATGGAGTCACAAACATAAACTGATGATTTTTCCAGCACTCCTTAAACCTATTCTAAACTCCTTTGCCACAGTAGAAAGCATCACTATATTCTTTGCTGTTCACAGGACTATGTTCAGCCAATGTATCAAAATGCACATGGTTCTGTGCCATCACTGAGTTAGCACTGCACTGCACCCTGTGCCCTGGTTCCAGCCCGTACAGTGCCAATATGTCCTCTTAGCAGTTTAAAAAAATAATCTTTGGGAAAAAAAAAAAAAAAACAACCAAATAACAACAAACAAATTAAAAACAAACAAGCAAACAAACTGGCAGAAACCAGGGAAGTGTGATTTAAACCTGCTTTTCATTCTCCAGCTTGCACAGAATCACAGAATGGCCAGGGTTGGAAGGGACCTCAAGGATCATGAATCTGCAACCCCCCTGCCACAGGCAGGGACACCAACCTCCACATTTGATACCAGAGCAAGCTGCCCAGGGCCCCATCCAGCCTGGCCTTGAACACCTCCAGGGACGGGGCATCCACAACTTCTGTGGGCAGCCTCTCTCTGTAAAGAATTTCCCCCTGACATCCAACCTAACCCTAACCCTCAACTTAAAACCATTTCTCCTTGTCCTGCTGTTATCTCCCCTTTCCAAGAGCTGAATCCCCTCCTGTTTGTAGGCTCCCTTTAGGTACTGAAAGGCTGCAACGAGGTCACCCTGCAGCCTTCTTTTCTCCAGGCTGAACAAGCCCAGCTCCCTCAGCCTGTCTTTGTAGGGGAGGTGCTCCAGTCCCCTGATCATCTTTGTGGCCTCCTCTGGACCCTCTCCAACAGCTCTCTGTCTTTCTTGTACTGGGGGCTCCAGGCCTGGACACAGTATTCCTGTTGGGGCCTC